GCAAACCATGTCACTATGCCCTTTGACCTAAGATCATCATGGATTCCTACATGAGAAACGCTCAGCTTTGACCTAGTCAAAAGTCACTTTTGACCGAGTGATCATAAAGACTATGTTCAGGCTTAGTGGTTTTTCATATGGAGGAATGTGAATGGTCAAGATGGAATTTGTCCCTCACATTCGTAGAGAGATATTACTGGGCCCCTCGATGAGTGAGTCTGAGAAATGTATGGCCATACTATAATGGAAAGGTAGTTCCGTTTCTATACTCAGACTACTTAAGGATCGAGAAAGTAACAGTCAGGAATAGGAGGATGACACTCTCCATGCCTCATCCATGACCAAAATGTCGCGTGACAAAAGGGACGTGATATGGTTGTATAAAAGGTTACATCATTCATCGATCCTCATATGATTTGGGTAGTTGTGATGTCTTGCTAGAGACCGCTTACGACTTGTGAGTCATTTTAGTAAATGGCCCACTGCCAACTTCATATGGGCCGACAGGGTCACACACAAAATAGCCCAACACGAGCTATGATGTCCAAATTCATTGAATCTAAGATATGTCCAGATTCAATGAATAATCTAGGGTGGACGTGTATATATATATATATAAATTCGCGTATATATATTATATGATATAAGAGATATTTATAAGATTTGATTTATAAGGATAAATTAAATCTATATCATTTTAAATTGATAAGGTATAATATAATATCTCAAATTTGATTTATTAGAATAAATCAAATATAATTCCGTCATATTTTTATGTTGAATTAAATGAATAGGTGAATTAAATCTGTAGGACGGATTTAATATATAAACCATATTTATTTAATTGATTTCTTATCAGATTACGCAATATGTGATATTGTATTAATTTCATAATACCGATAGCATCTTATATATTTGATATGAGGAGCTAGGGTTTTGTGTGTGTGAGAGTGCAAAAGGTTTGCAGATAAGAAACGGCCAAAATAGAAACAATGAGGACGGATTCTCGAAAAGCCCTAGAAGGACAAGAGGCACTAGCACGTCGTTCGTGTGGATACCGGTAGAGGAAGCCGATCTGAGTTGTCGACTTCTCACAAAGGAAAGGAGAGCATAGGCATCCTGAACGTCAGAATCCCCGAGCCACCAACAATTCGAACACCGTAGGTAACACCTCTTACTACTTGACTTAAACACAATCGGTAGATCCGGGTAAGGGATTGAAAATTTTAAAGTTATTTTCCGCTGCTTGTCTTTCAATTCCTTATAGGTAACGGGAACTTGTTCTTGATTGTTACCTTATTCAGCTATCGATAGTCGATGCACAAACGTATGCTCTCATCTTTCTTCTTAATGAACAACATTGGGGATCCCTATAGGGATACACTAGGTCTAATGAACTCTTTCTCGAGAAGCTCCTCTATCTATCTTTTTAATTCATTCAGCTCAGATGGAGACATTCGTAAGGAGTCTTCGATATAGGTGTTGTCCTTGGCATTAAATCAATTGTAAACTTGACTTCTCGTTCAAGAGGTAACCTGGTCATTTCCTTAGGGAAGACTTCAGGAAATTCCCTAACCACATCAATATGATCAATTCCTTCCTCGATATCCACTTGTATGGCAAAGAACACTACATAGGCTTGACATCCTTTTCGTATGCATTCATCTACTTGCGCGATAGACAAGAATACTGACCCGCTAAATGGTCCTATAGGCACCACATCTCTAAGGAAGACAACTACTCTTTTTCTATAATCTAGTACAACATTATTACGTGATAACCAATCCATCCCAATAATTACATCCATCCCTTGTAATATTAAACAAATTAGAGCTATTGTTGTTCTACGGCCTTTAAAATCTAATGTAAGGTTTAAATAAGCTTGAGTAGTTCTAACAGACAAACTCACAGGAGTAGACACACTCAAAATAACAGGTATCTTAGAGATGTGCACATTGGAATGTAAGATATATTTATAAGGAACAAAGGAATGGGTAGCACCAAAATCAAATAGTGCTTCAACGTTATGTCTATGGAGGGATATCATACCTTTGATGGCGTTAGGGATAGCACCTACTTCTTCTTGAGTAATAGCAAAGACATGGCCTGGCATTATTGATCGAGTATTCTAGGAGTTCTAAGTGTTATGCTGATTCTCAGGATAATAGCGAGCAATGTGTCCCATCTTGTGACACTTGTAGCATTTCCAATATTTTCTAGGATGGTTCCTTCCACACTATAAGCATGGTCCATGGATAGTAGGGGTTGACATCACTGATTCATGATGAGTGATTGGGCTTCTATTAGACTGAGATCTTGAGATTATGCTCTTCTAGGCTGAGCCCTTCTGTACAGATTTCTTGTGGCTTAAGTTTTGATTCTTTCCATATGAACTTATACTTCCTGTGCCTGTATTATTTGTCTTACTAACCCCTCCAATTGGTCCAAGGTACGAGGAAAACCGCCCTTGAGAATCCCTTTTACGAGTTTCTCAGCCTCATGAGTCCGCCTAGCTGTAACTCGAAGGTTCGTACACATGTCTCCAAAATCAGTCACTAGAACTAGGGCCAGTTGTTGCTTTAAGTCTGGTCTTGCTCTTTCTCGTAACTGCCTAGCCATCCAACCTAAGTCCTCATCCCTCCGCAACATTGTCACATATTTGGATAGGTCTATAAACTTAAAGATAAAGTCATCTTTGTGCATATTGTTTTGTTGCAAGGCAAAGAACTCTGATTCCTTATCTTGACATAGGGCAGGTGGGAAATAGTGATTGAAGAACATCCTCTTGAATTCATCCTAAGTAACTTATGAGTCATCAGCTGGGCTCACACTTTCCCACCAGTGCTTAGCTCGTCCCTTTAACAGCACAATAGCTACTTGCACCTCATTTTGAGCAGTGCAAGGGGCAGCTCTGAAGATGGTCTCCATTTTATCAATCCAACCTTCGACCTCAACTTACAGTCACTACCCTAGACATGTTAGTTTAAAAAAAAAAATTCCAACCACTAATTGCTCTAACAGCAACGCAACCCATTGTGTTTGGATGAAAGCTTCAATTCGATAAGTTTCTTTTTCTTGTTTTTAATAAATGACGATTATGTATGATTATGTATATTTTTAATGAATGATGATTATGTATATTGCACTTTAATTTTTAATCTCAATAAAGATACCTTAGACTATTTATATAAAATTGGAACAAATTTCGATGCTTATCAGAGTGATGAGCACCATGATACTCATCGTTGCGGTAAAATCTGCATCATTCAAATATAGTTTTAATTGTCTAGATTTAAAATTTGTAACTAATCATTTTAAATAAAAAAATTATTTTTTGAAAAACTTAAAGTTAAGATATTACATTTATTTTGGGTTATGTACCTATTAAAGAAACACATTTTTCAAAAAAAAAATTAGAAATTTAAATCTTGCCCATCCATATTAAATTTGAATGATTGAGATTTGATGAGTATTATGGTACTTATTATTGTGATGAGCACTAAAACTCGTTTCCTAATAAGTCCAGTCTAGGTCAAATTATTCTTACAATGTTAAGTATGAATTGATCAGTTTTATTTTATTTTAGAGTTAATACAAATTTTGGTTTTCAAGTTTGTCCTCATTTGTTGTTTTAGTTCCTCAAGTTTTAAACCATAGAATTTAGCTTCTCAAGTTTCTTTTCATTTAAAACATTAATTCTTATAATCCAATAAAAACTTGGACCATTTTGCCCATAGAGGGACCAAAACCTATGGTTTGAAATTTAATGGACCAAAATCAAAATGAAGGTAAACTTGAGGGACCAAAGATTATATTAGCCTTTTATTTTATGTAGAAACCAAATTTAATTAGATTATGATGCTTTCACTAATTTGTACATTATTTAGGGGGGGAAAAAAAGATTGTAAATGTGATATGATATAATGGTTAAGTAGTGATTTGGGTGATCAAAATTTGAGTCATTAAATAGACAGCGCAATGGTTGATAATGTTAGATTCGAAGGAACGACGCATACGGTCATTTAGATGGAAATATATGCCAGAGTTAGTGTTTATGAATCTCATATCTAAGTTACTTGTATCTGATCTCATTCTCACATGTCGAAGTCTTTCATATATTTGCCCATGGTAAAGAAAGGGATTGAAAAATAATGTTGTACATACACTTTCTCTCACATTTTTTATTGTATTTAATTATAGGAATAAAATTGAAAAAAAAGGTAATTTAATTACTCTACAAATGACTTATATATATTTAGGACTTAATTTTTTTTTTCCATACAAGTGACTTTTTCTTACAAGTGACTTACATTACATATAGGGTGAGAGTGATACTACTTTTGGTCCTTAATATAGAGCTATTTGACTAATTTGAATAGATTAAGAAAATATGTTAAGTTAGTTATTTGTAATAAATGGGTATTGTCTTCCCTAAAATCCTTTGCTAATTATGTAAATTAATTAGAACTATCATTTGATGAAACCTTTAACTACTACAAAGACTATCTTGAAAAAATAGATAAATATGAGAAATAAAACGAATTAATATCTTATATGTAGAAGCAAATTAAATATTAAACTAGCTCTTATATTAAGGATTAGAAATAATATATTTTTTAATGATATGAGAATTACAACATGTTGGGATCATGGGATACATTGTACGTAGGAAATTCCTTCCGTGCATCGTATGGGCATTCAATGATAATTGATTTGATATAAAATGTAAGGGATAAAGCTAGAAAACACACCCAAAAACAAACTTAATTAGAAGTCAATAGAAGCAATATTTGGTTGGCTAAGAAAATTAGATTAATATATAAATTTGGGCCATCTTTAATTATTATATTAGACAATAGGGAAGGAAAACCGACGGGGGGTAAAAAAAAAAAGAAAGAGGCAACACCCAGGTAGATAAGTGAGTCCCAGATTTATCTTTCTCTTGCTTAACTCTAAAAGTTCTATATAAATTAACATAAACACTGAAAGTTAGTAGTAGTCTATTTATTCATAAAGCTCTTGCATTTGAGAGCAAACTCAGAAAAAGTCTTAGTGGAAGATGCATATTCTTGAACCGCTTGAGAAGCAACGAGTTTAAGATTATTCATTCTTTGGCGAAATGCTTCACTTTGTTCACCTTCAATTAAACTCTTCACAAGCTTAGCAATTTCTTGCCTTCCCACAATGCCTCGATCGTTATATTTTGGCCTCAAGGCCACCTGGAGACCATCACTTACTAGAGCGGCATTTAGTTTCTGCTCAGCAAAAAGTGGCCACGCTATGAGTGGCACCCCGTTAACTACGCTCTCTACAATTGAATTCCATCCACAATGGCATAGAAAACCACCCGTTCCCACATGGCTAAGCACTTGCCCCTAAAAGTAGGTTAAAAAGAGAGAGAGATTTCCTGATCAAAAAGTTATAAGTATACTATATTAATAAACAAGTATTTTGTTTGTAATTTGTTTTACTTCTATTGTTCTAGAATAGACTCTTTCTGTTATCATAGTTGAACCATCTATTAAATTTTGATGCCTAGAATTTCTATTTTATTGTTGAACTTTATGTTTTTTTGTTCACTTTGATAGGAGAGAATATAAAATAAAGATAGTTCTCTAACAATCAATTTTTCAAAAAAAAAACAGAGAAATATGTTGCATTTAAATATTACAAATAAAAATATCAAATATCAGTCATTCTTACTAATCATGAAATAAAAAATAAAGACAATCCTTTCACTACTAAATTTTTAAAATAAAAACAAATTGAAGTTGAAGGTAGAAAATTAAAAATAACAATTTAAATCTTCTTCTTTTTTTTTCCAACTACAAATAAAAATTTAAATGTAGAATTAATGTTTAGAACAAAATTTTAATACCCCAACTATTATTATCATAAGAATAAGCCCTGAGACAGGGGTCTTTTGCCGACTTTTTTTTTTTTTCCCGGCCAAATTTTCGGTTTTGTTTCTGCCCTGCGGTGTCTCTATTTTGTTATAAATTTACAATTACTATAATCCTCCCTTACAAATGAAATCTATTTCATCCCCAAAAGGAAAAGCTCATAAATCATAATTGATGTACCTGAGGTGCCCAAAAAGGAACAACCAAGCCTTGCTTTCGTGTCCGCTCTAAGAAGCCACGTGGCAAAAAATGCAAAGGGTCTTTATTTCAGCACAAACATCAGCAACAGTACTATACTTACTCGAAGGCTTATAAACCCATAAGAAATTCTGACCACTCAACTCAAGTCCCATTGCCAGCTCATCCAATTGCTCATGGGAGAGGGTCCCACTGCTTCCAAAGCATACATAAACCACGGAGTTGGATGGCTTCGTGTCCAGTCATTTCAGACATTCATGAGTGGATGATTCAGCATTTCGAGTAATGGGCCCAATTGGATATACAGTTGGGCCTGGCCTTTCTCTCAAGGCCCATATAGGCCCAGGCTCTAATTCTAAGAAGGTGTTGACTAAGACCCTATCGGTGGAATCATTGACCAGCTTGAAGAAAAATCTGGTACTCTTGGTTGGTTCGATCTTGAAGCGAGTCTGGGAGATCGCTACCATGAACAGGGACACAACCTGAAATTTAAAAAATTTGATCACTACTCATTGTGAGATTTTAAAGGCTTTGTTTATTTAGATGAAAAAGGATGGTTGTGAAGAAGAAAAGAAAATAGCGACAGTTATAATAGGTGGGTGATCTGTATATAAATAAACAATAAATAAATCCATTTGTTTTACTTCTTTGAAATTAAAGCAAAATGATATTAAGTAAAAATAAAAGTTCAAAGTACAATCCATTTGTTTTATTTCTGCTATATATAAAAATATAAAATTTATATTAGCTCGTATTATTTGTATTCACCGTATGAGAGTCATTATTGATTCTATACATTTAATACGCTCACATTTGCCAAAAAAAAAAAAAATACTCATCAGTATACTAGCGTCACCTTAGCTCAAAATCTATAATCTGGTTTTCCAAATTTTGTACTATGGATGAAAAGCATATGTAATTTTCAAAAAATATTTTATTGACTTGAGTTTTTTAAGGAGGAAAAATCAGTCTTCATGTCTAGGATGTATATATACACATGCAAACACAATTTTACTATAGAGTATAACTTAATAATCTATGAAAATTTACGGCAAACGTCAGCTTTGGGTTGATATATAATAAATGAACATGTGTGCGTGCAGTAAATAAGCGGATTCAAGGGAATAATGTCAATTTTCTTGCAAAAAGTATTATTATTTACCTCTTATCACGTTGTTTATAATACTCCGGTCCTTAATATAGGACCCAATTTTTGAGTTGGTTTTTGTCCTAAATATAAGACTCATTTATCATATTTATCAATTTTCTCTAAATTACCCCTATAGGTACTCCCTCAACCATAATTAAATAGAAGAGGGAGAGGAGGTATTAAGAAAGATGATTATAGTGTTTTAGGAAAAATATATCACTTTTCTTATAATTAACTAACTTACCTAACTTCCTTAATCTAATCAAATTAGTTAAATGGGTCTTATATTAAGGATCGGAAGAGTAGTATATATTATTATGCTTTTTTGCGATTCACGTGCGTAATCTGATGTGAAATTGTAGCCTAATTTCTCAATTGAATCCTAAATAATTCTGAAGTTAGAATTAACATATTTGCAACAACACTGACCTAGAATCTTTATGGGTTCTGCTAGATCCCTGAACTCACGAGAAACTGCCTTATCCAGCTCTGAAGAATACAAGCAGAGTGAAAGCATCATGGCCGTGGAAGGGAAATATACAAATGACAAGACGTTTCGATCCTTCACAAATTCCACAACCTGATCTAACAAAGCATCAACAACGACAGCACCAACCGGCACCGTTTCATTCACAAACAACTTGTTTAGCTCTTCGCAAACATTAGGCAGAGAACGATACATGCTGATCTGAATGAGATTCACTGGGTTAGTCTCCTGCGACGCCATGTCGTTCAAGCTCGGAGGGGGAAGAAAAATGTACTGAATGCCTGAATTTGAAGGGAGGGCTTCCAGAAGGGCTTTTTGGGCATTTCCGGAGGATTCTACTGTGGTGATGATGACCGTACAATGAAAGTGTGGGTGAAGATAAAGAAGTCGTTTGCAAAATTCGATCATGGAGAGTAAATGGCTATATATTGGGACTGGAACCACTTAGCTTAATTAGCTCAAGTAAAAAGGCCTATGTGGGAAGCATAATATGTTGGCTGGCTTCTTATACAGTAGACTACCAAGAGGTAACGATTTTTTCTCTTCCCATCTTTAAACCGCTTTGTGAAACTCTACATAAACAAGAAAAAAAGCAGTTTTTGAAACAACTTTAAATTATGCCATAAATTGCCATATGTTTTTTTTTTCCTTGTGGTTTTTGAAACGATTGAAGAGAAGCAGTTTAGGCTGATTCAATAGCGAATCATGATTTGTGTGTGTAGATTATAAACTCACATTATTTAAATTATATTAAAATTATATTGATATACTGATATTTCCTTATTCTCAAAACACATATAGATTTCTTTTGAAAAAATAAATTAGAGAATATACAGAGCTTTGTAAAATTACATAAATTATGTTCTGCCAAAAGGGGGAAAAAAACATAGAGAGATAGGCCTCATAGCTCAAGAAATTAAAACCACACATGCACACAAATATATTTTAATATATAATCTAAAATGCCATATATCAACATAAACAAATTTTTTTAAAGAAAAAAATATGGATATATTTTATTTTAAGTAAAAGATGATGGAATAAAAGAAACCCTAGCTGGAGTTATTGACAACATATGAAACCCTCGTGCCATAAAAGAAGCAATTATGTAACTTCTCGATAAGTAGTAATAATAAACAAAAGAAATTAATCTTTCTCCCAACGTCTAAATGTCAAAAATGTATGGGGGAGTTATGTAACTCTTTACAAGAAATTAAGAATAATAACTGCATATAAGTAGGTTCCATATATATATAAAAATATATTTCATAGAGTTTGATAATAACGTAAACTGAATAAATGGTTTATAGCTTGTAATTTAATTATCTTTACTTTTGAAGAAAATCGTACAATACCTTGGCAAATAATAAAACTTAAATCAAGTTGTTTATATTCTTTAAGTCAAATTCTCCCATGACACTCGTTATTTTGATATTATTATTTGTTAAAATGCACATGTGCACTTATAAATTTACCTATAAACACTTGTAAATTTTTGGATAAGCTCTAATAATATAAATTAAAATTTATAAATTTTTATATGAATACTTGTTATTTTATTATTGTTAGTTGTTAAAACATGTACTTGTACTGAACTTGTCTTAATGAATATAAGTAACTTGACCTAAGTTTTGCTTATCAACAAAAAGATATTAAGTTAAAACACTAAACAAAGACTAGCCTAGACCTTCTGCTAGATAAAATTAATGAGATAAGCATGCAAACCCAATAAATGAGAAAGATATCAGGCAAGAGAAACCAATAAGAGTAGTATAGACAAAAGACAATCATGCTACAAAACGGAAACAATGTGATATTTATTTGGGAAACCTACTCCACCACTCCTTATAGTTTTCCCAAGTTTTGGATCAAGTACTTACATTTTTTCCGCTCTTGTTTTATGGAGTCCTTTAAGTGTACTCTATTAATCCAGTTAGCCCCTTATTTTTCAAAATAGGAAGTAATAGTGTTAAAAATTTTGTTAAATAATTGTGAGGTGGCAAATAGCTAGCAATAATTTGTTAAGATAGATTATGATTCAGTATTAGAGTACACTAGTGAACCGACCCTCCGGTTTGGTTTAGTGGGTAAATTGTTCCTTAATCAACCTATAATAAACTGAGATAGGGCAACCCGCTGGATTAGGTGGGTTGCTAGCTGTTGCCCTCGCCTCTTGCCCACCCTTATTGCTCACCGGAGAAGCTCGTGTTCTACCTTTGCTCATGGAAGGTTGAAGACGGGAAGGCAAGGAGAAGAGAGGAGGGGGGAGGAGAGGGAGAGATGAGCCGATGAGGCGTAGAGAGAAATGAGAAGACTCAGAGAGATGGATGAGGCATTTTCAAGGAGGAAAGATCAGCCGTGTTCAATATTAAAAAGAGAAAAAAGAAAAAACGAAAAGACTGATGGGAATGGCCAAATGAGAATGCTCACGTGGGTAGAAAAGAAAGAAGAAGAGAGAGGAAAGCGGGAAAAAAAAAAGTTTATTGGGTTAGGTGAGAAAAGAAGGAAGAAAGGAAAAGAAAAAAATAAAAATATATATTATTTTTATAATTAAAATATAAATATTTTTATTCATTTTAATTAAATTATATTATTTTAATTATTATTGGTCTGATTTGACTCCCAGTGTCTGAACCGGTTTTTTAGCCTTGCGCAGCATGCATATTTTAAAATGCAGCCATGTCTGGAGAAATAAAGCCCATATCCACCGATGTTGAAGAAGAATATTACAGAAGCTGCTCATACATGATCACATTGGGGCATCGTCTCCTCTCATGCACGACGACGAAGTTTCGAGCGAGAGCAGCACTGTTGAGTAAGGAAGTTACTCAAAGGATTATGCGTTTGCCATATTTCCTTCTTGTTCATTTAATATATGCTTCGGCTGTGCAGTCTCCATATGCTCTACTTACCTGTAGCCACCGAAAGCGACATTAAAAAAATGGGAAGTAAGACCATGGACCCTACTCCTTTTTTTTTTTAGTCCAAGCGTCATTTTTGCTCTACCTTATGCATCTGTTACTCAAAGGCTGAATCAATAAAAGCACCTTCATGCTCATATTCTTTAGAATCATATATATTGTTCGATTTTTTATATTTGTATGGGTTCCTTATTAATTTAAAGAGTAAATTAAAATTTTGTCTAATTAAAGATAGTAAAAAAATTGTGATCTTTTTTGTGAACTTTGTTATGTTCTATCATTCAATATAATATAAAATTTGATTTATTAAATTTCAGGTCTCTCATGAAGCATCAAGAAAATGCAAAAGAAGTGAGTGGTAAAGTATTGTCAGAATACTCAGACAATAGCGATGAAGCTGATTTAAAAGATTATTACTTCCATCAATTTTCTGACGTTGTATAGTAAATGATATGGGACAAGGTAATGGAAGCTATTCGAATGTGTTAGGACATGTAGATTCACATATTGTTCCTTTCTCTAAGGCATTGATGAGAGCATTGGTGATTTGTTATGAGAACTAGAAGATGATGAATTATATGTTGAGTCCCAAAAAAAAAAAAAGAATTATATGAAGATCATATAAATGATGAAGACCCAAAAAATGTAACACCCAATTTAATAGATCTGGATGAGAGCAGATTTATTGGCAGCGGTTCATTCTGTACGTTAAAAATGTGAAAATTTTAAAACTTTTTATTCAACTTTGATTCAAGGCGTACTTTGTATTCCAGAAGTTACATGCTATAAAATAAAACCCGAATTTGCTTCTAATCCACCTATTAGCAATATCTAATTACAAACTTTATTATGTTTTTGTTCGAGCTCTAGTACATTACATATAATATACTTTACATAGAAAATAACCAATTCATTCATATCACAAATATAATATGATTATATATATACACACACCACTATACCCCGCATACAATCCTCCTTATGGGAGTACATACAAATATAATAGTAAAATTACACGCTTCACAAAGGGGAAAGTATAAACAAAAAAATGTCACAAAAGGGAATATAAACAAAACATATTAAATTTTTTATTGATTAACTAATTAACTAAATTCTTCTTCTCTTCCACCTTAACTATGCTCCCACTTACATCTCTTTCTCTTTATATGAATTAGGCCATATGGTTAAGTAGAAAAAAAAAGGTGAGATTCAAAGAATCCCAATATCAGTATAAAACCAAACATGCAAGACAAACCACGGAGAACAACACCTTACAAAATAATTAAACTGAACTAAATAACTAACTGAGACATATTTATTAAATCTCATATAACTATTGCACATAACTATGGCTCTGTTTGTGTGAGCATTTGAGCACTTATTAAGCACGTTTTGAAGCCATAAGCATGATTGGCCTTTTAATGGATGTTTGGTTTAGCTATCAGCCAATCTCACTTGCGGCCAAAAGTTGCACTTTAAGCCTCCTACTTATAGCTCATGAAATCATGCTTTTAAAGCAACTCTGCAAAGCTGAACGAGAGGGGAGAACACCATGTAGCTAATCTTTTTTTCCCAACCAATGGAACTTGTCAGTGAACTTGTTATCACAATACTATAACTTTTAATTTAAATATATTTTTTTTATTAAATTTAAAGTTAACTTCTTCCTATTAAAATAATTTAAAATTATTATATTATGTAAATTAATAACTTTTTTCATTTTTATTATTTAATAAAAGTCATAACTATTTGGGTAATTTTACAAACTAAACTTGCTTATTTATTCATAATTCAAACAACTTCTACTTATACCCAATCTAGCCTTTTCAAAAGCCAATACAAATATAAATATAATTACCCAATTTACCTTTTTTAAAAACCAAATTAAAAATAAGCTACTTTTTCTACCGCTAATCTAAACGGGCACTATATAACTGAATAATTATGCAACCACTATCTGATTAACTAAATAACTGTGCAACTGATTAACTGTATAACTGCGCTGTATAACTGCGCAGCTGCGATCTGATTAATTGGATAACTGCGCAGCTGCGATCTGATTAACTGCATAACTGCTCATCTGCTATCTGATTAATTGTATAACTGCGCATCTACTATCTGATTAACTATTAAAATACTGGATAGTAAAATGCATGCACATGATCGTGACAATAACTGATAAGACAATTTACATATTCTCATGCTTAACTATAGCATTATGACACACATAGATATGTAACCAGAACAAAACATACAAAATAATGCTTAAAGCTACCTTTCCTCTTGCTCTTATGTGCAAGTACCTTGGTCGGAGTTTCT